CATGCAGTTCATAGTTACGAATGTCATGTCAATGCTTATTATTTTCATAAAGCTTAATGATCTTTGATTGTATCTCTATTATGATGTTCATGTAGGGAACTATTGAAGAATAATTTGGTTGCCGATGCGTTATCCATCCAATTCAATGAAATTAGGAAAATCTGAGAGTTAATTTGTGCAGTTCACGGTTAATTTGGGGCATTGTCATTCATGGTTTATAGGAATAATAATTGGAAATCGATTTGTATGCATATGTGTCATGTGTGGAGATGAACCCTCTAGCTAGGCATTCACCCATTTAAACACCCAATTTCATCCAAGTTGTTTAGAGTCTTTAAAATCTGTCTATTTTTACTTTAATATCATCAAAACCAATCCCCCCTTTAATAGTTCGTGTTTACTTAGTTAGAACCTGTTTTAATTTGTTCCATTTAGTATTTTGAGTCTTTTTAGTTTAATTTTCGTTCAAATCACTTTCTAGTTCCTGTTTTAAGTCAATTTAAGTTAGTTTGTGTGTTTTGAGTCTTTTTAGCTTGTTTTGAGTCATTACAGTCTAGTTAATCCTCGGCCTAAAACGATCCCTACTTTCATATACTACATCTATCTTAATAGGGTTTAATTTGTGTGTTAGTTTCTATCACATCAAAAGCCGGATTGGTGCTCGAGTACACATTTTCCCGCTCAAACAAGGTCTATGCAGACTAAAATCATCGAACTATAACTTTGTGATAACACTCGCAAACGCTTTCAAATGATGTTACTATACCGGAGAGAGAAATCAGGTACAGAAAATAGAAAACACTACTGCTTAATACCCGCGCGTTGCTGCGAGTTTGAAGTTGAGATAAGATGTTAAAAATGAAAAAATTTTGGTTACAAAATAGGAACAACGATAACAACGATGAATTTGGTAAAGCGTTAACTGGAAAAGGTTAAATTGAGATAATATAAAGATACAAATTATAGTTATCCATTATATTGTAGCAGTTCTATGTATTTCTGGACCAAGAGGATTACATTCAGTTACACAAAAAAGAAATTCCTGGTATAAAGATACAAAAAACATTATAATAACTGAATTTCTTCTAATAACCCCATCTAATATACTGTGTTCCAGCATTTGCATACAAAAAATGAGGAGATGCTGTTGTATGGGGATGCAAAAAATATTGTTGAGTTTTGGGCAAAAAAAGATATGTACAAGTTTTTACACATGTTAAACATGATTTAAAATAGATAAACAAAACACGGTAAACATTATTGATCAGAGTAGTGAAAGGTGTCTTCAGCCCTGGTTGTCATTGATAAAGCAACCTGAACAAAGAGGAATAGAACAGAACATATTTAGATAGGATTTAGTATAGCATTTAAATGGTAATGGAGGAAAAGATAAAACAACTTGAAAATATACTAACCAAATCATTGTTTCCAGTGGTGCTGTGTGGCTTTGCCTGAGTAGGAGGTGATTTTTTTTTTTAAATAACTTGATTGGAACCTCATCACATTTTCTTGGATCAACTTCTGAAATTTCTTCAGATTCACTGAGTTGAATGATTATGCAACATTAATATAGTTTTTCACAGAAAGAAGAAAAGGTGGTTCCTAGTTATAATTCATAGTATTGAAAATGTTTGATATGAAATTTTAAGAAAGTTGAAGTGAACACATGGAAATTTTTTACAACATGATGCAAAAATATAAACATCATATTTGAGAATAGTATGAAATTAGATATCAAACCTTTGTTCACCAAGAATGAAAAGCACTATTCTCACAGATTCTCTTTTTCGTTTATAAGATTGATCACTTGGTTCAGGTGTTGAGAACCATTCAAAAACAAAAGAAAATGACTAGCAAGAGCGGGAGAAGCCAACAAAGACAACGAAGAAAGCAAACGACTGCCAAAAGCGGGAAAAGCAAAGAAAAACAACAAAGAAAAATTGAAAAGAAAACGGAAGAAATAAGAACAAAAGTAGAGATACTACATTGTGGCGATGACTGACACGTGGGTAGGTATCAATTTTTATTGTTTGTTGTGCCACAAATCATGTGGCCCGGTTTTAATCATATTTTTTTAATATTTTTTTGTCTTCCCATCAGATAAACATGGGTTTAAAAAGTTAAGAAGGTATAAAAATTTTATTGTTTGTTATCACATAAAAATTAAAAAAAAAAATGTACAATGATAAATTATACATATACTAAAATTCAGTTCGGTAGCACAATAAAGAACAAAGAAAAAGTCACTTATTATAAATCACCTGCTTTGCTTATGTTTGAGCAGCTCCGGGAATCGATGGTTTTCATATCCTGCAAATTCAGACTCTTAACTTCTCTAGCTTTATATATGGCTGTAATTTATCAATAGGAGTTGGAGCTATATTTTTCATTTACCCTGGTCAAACAAAGCATAAATTTTTTAATTTCTCTTTCGTTCTTTATTTATTATTTCCTATTTTCTCTACTATAATTTAAACATCAAATTCATCCAAAAACAGAACTTTTTAATAATTATTTCCTATTTTTTGTGCTCTAAATTAAACACCAAATTTACCCAAGAACAGAAAATAAGCAAAAGTAAGTGGAAAAAAAAAAAGAAAAAAAGAAAAAGAAAAGAAGAACGACATACCTGAAGTAGAACCAGCGCGAAAATGGCAACACAACACTTGGGAAAAATGAACAACATCGTTTCCTGAAAATACAAAACAGAACCAAATCATGCACCCATAATAATAATAACGACACACAAACGAAAAAAAGACGAAGCACCGTTTGCTAAAACGCGAAAGAAAGAAGCAGAAAAAGCATAGGAAAATTTGAGGAAAGAAAGAGATAAAAATGAAAGATAAAGGGAGAAGCCCTCTCAGCAGAAAATCCCCCAATGATCAACAAGTGGAAGACAAAAAGCAGAGCAAAACCAAAAAATAAAATAACCAAAGGCAAGGTAGAAGACAGCGGGGCTTCTCACAATTTTTAATATTTGGTTTCCATGCAGTCAAAATTTTTTATATTTTTTTTTGTGTTATGTGCCACAAACCTGGATTAACTCATTTTTTTTAAATATTTGTTGTCAGTTTTTTTTTATTATTTTATCTTTCTTTGTGCCCACACTCTGCAGGAGACTCTGCATTCAAATGTTTTTATAATATTTTATTGTGTTATGTGCCACAAACCATGTTCTGTGCCACCTACTGCAGGAGACTCGGCGTGGTAGACAAAAAGCCGAGCAAAATAAAAAATAAAAAAAATCAAATGGCAAAGCAATGGGGACAGGTGGGTTTCTCACAATTTTTAATAATTATTTTATCCATGCATTCAATGTTTTTATAATTTTTTATTGTGTTGTGCGCCACAAACCATGTGGCCTAATTTTAGTCATATTTTTTAAATAATTTTTTGTCAGTTTTTTAATTAATTATTTTATCTTTCTTTGTGCCACAACTCGACCATCATAGACACACAACCTGGGAGGACAAAGGATGATCAACACGTGACAATCATGGGCAATGTAGGTATTTTATTATGTGAAGCAGGCAGCAAAACGATAATGGACCGAAAAAAATCAAGGGCATTTACACCCTTTTACTATTGTTGAACAGTGCTAAAACTCAACTGAGTTTTAGTATATATAATTTAGGAGCAAGTTAACAATTGTCAGCATTGACCTCATTATCCCATAAGCTAAAACATAATAACTTGCCAAAAGCAGAAGAAAATCAGCTGTAATATTGTTATCATAAATTAGCAAAAATGTCAAAAAGGCAGTTTCGTTCAATGTGTGCAAACCCGTTGAAATTTGTCAATGCTAACTATATTAGTTAAAGCATAGAATTTGCTACCTCACATAACTTTGGCGGGTCCCTTCCAAATTTTTTTAATACACTATACACATATAGCAGTTTTAGGTGGAACTTTGGTTAACCTTTTATCTTGTTCTCAACTAAGTTCAAATAATAGTGCTTATTTCCCACCTGTGGTTCTTCTTGTCCCAAATGAAGTTTTTGTAATAACATTGATGCTTCTACCCACAATGGACAGTCACAGTATGCCATCTTAATTTTATGAATCGCCGCACATTAGACATGATATATGCAACACTATTATTCTAGTTTTGACCTTCTCCCGCATCTCATTTTTTATATTCCGTCTAACATTATGTTTTAAGAATGAATATGATTCACCACCATGTGGAAGTTATGAAAAGTTGAGCTATATTATTAGATATAACAATTAGCGAAGGGCCACGAGCTTATCGACAGAATGCGCGTAAACTACTTACAGTCATAGGGTTAGGATCTCCAAATTCCAGCTATTAATTTCATGGCACCAAACGAGTGTAATGGGGGACAAGTAAACTCAGCTACCGAGATCTGCATATACTGTTAAAAAAAACCTGCCTAAAGCTGTCTAGCCCGCCCCGCTCAGGCATTGGGCAACTCCCCCCCGCCGCCCCCCCCCCCCCCCCCCCCGGCCCCTCTCTCCCCTCCTCAGCGATTCATCCCTAGGCATTTGAAAATTAAGAATGGGTGCCTAGACCTACTTAGGCATCCACCTAACCTGTCCAGGCACCTGCCTAGGTCAGGACTCTCATTTATATAGAAAATTGATAACTTTCATTTTGTATTTTATTTTTTTCAATAAAATGTAAGAGACTTATTGAATACTCGAATGAACACTGATTATATGCTTGTTCCCCCATATTCTCAATTTGTTTTAATAATTTATAATTTATAGGTCATTTTAAAATGCAATTTATTTATCCCAATACAATTATGTATCTTTTTAAGTATAAATAGGTACTTATTTATACGATATATAATAAATTTGCTTAAATACGCGTAGTCCGCCTAGCTGCTTAGGTGCTAGCCCTCAGCACGCTGCCTGACTAGTGCCTAGCGTCCTTTAAAACCTTATATGGATATATAGCAAACAGAAGATATTAAACCGGATATGAATAACAATATGTCGTTGCAATACAGCAGTAAAATGCTCACTTTTTTCTACAGGATCATAAGATTCGAATCATCAAAAGGCAAGTAACCTGCAAGCAATACAAAGAGTATCACTCCACATGACCACAAGTCCGCAGTTGCCCCATCATAGCCTCCACCTTTAAGGACCTAAACTAACAAGGGTACATTTTTGCAAGATTAAGAACCTACGGCGTAGAAAGATAAATATACATAAGGTCCAAGAAGATTGGAATGAAACACATCCATACCTCAGGAGCAACATAATTTGGAGTTCCACAGGTAGTGTGAATTAACCCATCATCCTGCCAATGTGTCGCAGTAAGAAATAAATGTTGGACATTTAAGATGCATCATCTCATTCCCAAATGCACCAACTAACTAGAACAAGATGTACATGTGCATCACAGATTACAGTGTTGATGTAAATGATAAAATGAGGCAGAGACTAAATTCCATATGACTCCAATCATAGAAAGTGTTCTAACAATTTTAATAATTTCTAGAAATTTGACACCCGCATCTGTAAATAGTTACTTAAGATCTTTATACCGACCATCCGGACAACAAAACTAACATAAATAAGATCAAATGATAGTTACATATGAACGCTGAAGGAAAGTGAACTGGAGTGGCCTAATATCATTTATACCCTGACTTGTTGGGATAGTGCACTCAATCCGAAATCAGAAACTTTAAGGTTCCCACATGCATCCAATAGCAAATTTTCTGGCTACAAGAAAAGCAATTAAATTGAAAATTAATTAACATTTTACCGTATTTTGTATTTTTTGATATGCACGTTTGCTAAGCATAAGTACCTTCAGATCTCTATGATAGACACCTCTGCTATGGCAGTAATCAACTGCGTTAATAAGCTGTTGGAAATATCTCCGTGCTTCATCTTCTCTCATCCTTCCATTGTTTACCTTCATATCAAAAGAAGTTTTAGTGAGAAATATGAACTCCCTCCCAAATAATCACCAGAGCTCGAAACTGATTGGTTTATCAAATTCATGTTCACAAATGAGTGAGCAAGGCAACTTGGTAATTGAAGAGAATTTAGGATGGGAATGTTAGGCTGCAGGTTTAATTCCAGTATGTGATTTATTTTTCTAAATTGACAATACACCATTTATAGAACACAACCGGAAGAAAATTGTCACTAACTATTTTGTCAAAGAGCTCCCCTCCAGTTACGAACTCCATATCTATAAATATCTTTGTCTCACTCCCCATTACCTGAAAATACACAAAATTATTAATACAATTTACATTGGTTTAAAGTAGATTTGTGTTATTGTTTGTGTGATTTTTTAGTAGCCTTATCCCACTTAGTGGAGTCGGTTATATGAATCAAAACTGAGGGCAGCTACCCAACTTTGTCTTTCTAGGCTAATGTCGATGCTCTGAACCCATATTTCATATCCGTTCCATGTAATTCAGCTGTATAAGCCGTATTTTGTAAAGTTTTGCCACTTGGCCATTGGGGTAGACGAAGATCCAACCATTCGATCGTTATGAAAATTTAGTATGTTGTTGTGCTTATGATTTGAGAATCTTAGGAATTCACGGATCAAAAATCCGAGGTCGAATCTTCGGAATTGGATTACATAGGGTTGTTGAGCTTACTGTTAACCACGTTGACCGAGGGTTGACTTTTGGTCAAATTGGTCCAAATCAGTCTTAAACGCTGAAGTTAGCATTACCAAGGTACCAATGGAGCCTAGTGGGTCTACCTTAGTTAGCATATCGTTCTAAGGGATGTGCACCTCGATTTGCTTGCAGTGGCACCTTATTAGGATTAACATTATTATTGGACTTCTAGATGAGAGTATTGGTAATGTGCGATTGCTAGTATGTAAGTGACTTTATTATCTGTGGTATAGGTTATTACCCTAGTAGAGGACTGTTAACCCATTGTTATTAGGAACCATGACATCGAACTAGTATCCTGTCTAGTTCCGTTGAGTTGTTCTATACTAGATTCCTAGAATTCTGTTTGATTCCATTTAGTGGTCCAAGACCATTCCCCACCTAGGTTCCGTTAAATGGTCCAAATGCGTTTTCCATGTGTGTCTCGTTAAGTGGTCTGGTACCCAATCTTTGATTGAATCCGTTGAGTGGTCCATAATTTCGATTCCGTTGAGTGTCATGAACCTTATCTTCATTGAATTTAGTTGTGTGGTCTGAAATCCCTTTCCCTATTCGGTTCCATTAAGTGGTTTGAAACTCAATCTTCGACTGGATTCCGTTGAGTGGTTAGGAATCTATTATTGCCGTTGAGTAGTCTAAACACTATCTTAGTTGGATTCTGTTGAGTAGTCCAGAATCTCTTTCCCTAATTGGTTCTGTTAAGTGTCTGGAACCCTATCTTCGATTGATTCCTTTGAGTGGTCCTGAATCCCTTTCCCTATTTGGTTCCTTTGAGTGATCTGAAACCCTATCTTTAGTTGGATTTCGTTGAGTGGTCTGAAACCCTATCTTCAATTGGATTTCATTGAGCTGGTTCATAACCCTAGATTCTTGTGAGTAGAAGTTGCTCAAGGTTACGCTTGAGCTTGTAACTTAGGGTTACAATGTTGTTACTTTGAATCCTGGTAGAGAAGTAAGGCAAGCCTTACAAAAGTTGGCTTTGTTACTATTCACGAAGTGATGTTTGATCTTATTGATTGATTAATGTGGTTAAATGGTTAATTTTGTGCGTCGTTGGTCCATTGAAATGTTATTGATTGTGGTTTAGTAGTTAGAAATCATTATTAAGTATGTGAAAGATAGAATGACATATTGGTGCATCATTTATATCGGAAGTTGTCTGGTGATGTGGTAGAAACTAACACACAAATTAAACCATATAAATTATGCAATTGTAGTACGAGTAACTATTCTGAGGATTAGAAAGGATGCTAATCAACACAAATTAAACTTATAAAACTGAAAACTAAGTTAAACTAACAACAAAACAATGACTAGGGGGATTTTGGACGAATTTAATAAAAACAAAAGTAAATGGTAGCAAGTAAATTAAGTTGTGAATGAAATATAAATGAAAGAATAGCTAAAGGATTCTTCTCTACACATGAATCATATGCATACAAATCGATCTCTAGTTATTCTTCCTATAAACCATGAATGACAATGCCCCAAATTAACTGTGAACAACATCAATTAACTCTCAAATTTTCCTAAGTTCATTGAATTGGACTCAGTTTCGCAACCAAATTATTCTTCTCAAGTTCCCTAACTATCAAACGCATGATAGGGTTACATCTTAAAGATCATTAAATTCTGTGAAAATCATAAGCATTGACAAAGCATTCGTAACTATGAAAAGCATGGTACTTCTACCAAGAATTTACTTAACTCAATCATGACTAGTGACTTTTACTACTTGCAAATATAAGTTCATAACGATTAGGTGAAATTCCCTTATATTCTAGCATCAAATCCCTGCATGCAAATTAAGTATGCATTCTTAATAAACATACAAGAAAAAGTTCTCTATAAAGAAGATAAGTAAATTGCATTCATGTTTTATGAAACAATAACTGGATGTAATCAATTTATATAAAACATATGATCATTGTGACAGCCCGTCACTCTGAGATCTTTCTTTTTCCCTTGACTTCTTGCTTCAATTAACTCCTGGATTTCTTCATCATTCATCTGGGCCTCGAGCACACGATCAATTAAAATTGGTCTAACTTGGAAATTAGCAAGTAAAGTTTCTTCTCGAGCTTCTAGCCCTAACTTCACTCCAGTGGACCTCAAATCAGCAAGAAGAGGAATATGACAAGCATATACACCATTAAGTCTAACTGGTGTCTACCTACTAAGTGCATTAGCCACCACATTTGTACGACCAGGGTGATGCTCAATCGTTCAATCATAATCACTTAGCAACTCAATCCACCTCCGCTGCCGAAGATTAAGATCCCTCTGAGTAAAAAGATATTGAAGACTTTTATGATCCGTATAAATCTTACATTTTTCACCATAAAGATAATGTCTCCAAATCTTCAAAGCAAAGATAATGGTTGCCAATTCCAGATCATGAGTAGGGTAATTCATCTCACGAGGCGGCATAGTTCTGATAGAAGACACCAAAATAATTAGAATAATCACCAAATATGCAGGACTACCAAACCTAGGCTCTGATACCAAACTGACACACCTCGATCAAAATCAAGGCGTGTTGGCCGTCACGTGAGTGTGACGTAGCCATGTGCACAATGCGGAAGCAATAATAATATAAGAAATGCGAATAAATAAGAACCAAACTAACTAAAGCAGTAAATAAGTTAAGGTCCAAGACGAAATAAGTGTGAATTCACAACCAGAGCATAAGTAGCCTAAGTGCAGTCCAACACGACAAATACTAATTATACAACACCTAAAGGTGACCATACAATGGTGATAATCCGTCAGAACTGTCGTGGATTCCTCGCAAGCCACCACAAAGCACCCCTAACTAGAACCTAGAGGGGCGCAAAACAGAAAGTGTGTATTGGCAAAAACAAAGCTTTTCAAAACCATTTCAATTACCAAAGGTAGTAACCCCTCGTCGTAAAACTTGTATAATTTCCCAGAAAATAGAATATATATATAAATATATATATATATATATATATATATATATATATCTATACCACAACCATGCTCAGAATATCAAAATTTACAATATGGCATGTCGAATATCTCAACATAAAAATATATAAGCCAAGTGATATAAATCAATGCAAATGATATGTTAGCCGGAGTCACCTAACGTGACCTGTACGGTTGAATCTAAAGCTCATCCATCTAGCCGGAGTCACCTAACGTGACCTATACGACTCAAATCCACATCTCAACAAATATACCTGCACACGAGTCGGAACCACCTAAAGTGGTCTGTACGACAGGGTTGGGTGTAAATAAATACGCTCAAGTGCTACGATCACATGAAGACTGTGGGAATAATCGCTGGTCACCTACGAGTCGAAACCACCTATAATGGTCTGTACGATAAGACTGTGCACCTAACTTGGATCCATGGTGAGCGTATGGTGCGGGAGGTGAACATCATGTGAAGGACTGTGCCCTAACTCTAAGCGGGAGCGCTAACACTAGGGTTCATGTTTATGAGCTCTCAACACATCTCACATAATAATCATTCACATAAACAATCTATAACTCACCTGGTATTTACCTAAGCATCCACCGCGTCAAATCACAATATGCACATATCATACAAATTCATAGTCTAAGCATAAATCAATAAGCATGACATTTCAAACATAATTTCATTTAAATCGATTTTCTGGGAAAAATATCAAGTATATGGCTGTATACGGAAAACCAAAAGTCCACTCACTGATATGTGGAAGGGTCGCAGCCCCCAAGCGTCGATTGACTGCACTCGTCCTAAGGATAGGTCTCACTTATATGCGAAACAACTACATAAATGTTAATTTAAAGCACATAAACGATACTAGCTAATAACTTCTTAAACATTGCTCAAATAGGGTGTTTGAATATACCAACGTAATCTACTCAACACCATGAACATCCCTATATTTTTAGAAAAAATTTTCGATCACCCACGCGCTACCATGTGCCAGCCAAGGCACGGCCAGACGCGCCCCTACGCGCGGCCACGTGTCTGGCACGCCTAACGGAAAAGTTAACGCCGTAAGGAATATTTCGTTAAAACTAACCTAACACCGTTAGCTGCCGTTAGGAATATTCCGTCAATTTTGATGGAATATTCTCTTTTCTTCTCCGATGAACCACTGGCCACCGTCGTCATCGCTGGAAACAAGAACAATATTCAAAGCTTCATATCTCACTCGATTTTCAACCAAAATTCATGAAATTTTCACCAAAATGAAGCTTAGTATGAGAAAACACATTCTTACCAACTTCAAGCCCTAAAATCCACATGATCTCACAGGAGAACCCTCGATAATCCGGCCAAATTTTCAAATTCGCCAAACTCAACTTCCCAACATCCAAAACACTTCGTTTTTCTTCTCCGATCTTCGTGAAGACGCTCTATAGCTTCCTAGCAGCTTAAAATCTCCTCAAAACTTCACATTTACGATTGCATGAACAGTGCTCAAATCGAAGATTATGGTTCTCGGGTTTTCCGACGGCTTCATGTCCTAAAAATGGTATAAATGAGATCGTATGGTTACAAGGAATACGAATATGACATCAAAAACCTCGATCTGTGAAGAAAAATGGATGATTTGGGTGATGTCTGTACGACTTGCACCGAAATGCTGAAAAAATCCAAGAAGGAGGAAAGAGAAAGAGTCAATGGGAGTGACAGAAAGGTGGTCCAAATTTGGGCATCCAATCACAACAAACAAAACCACACAACCACACAAAACGTCTAAGAGCAATTTCGTCTTTTCACAATTGCGATAAAATGTTTCAGGACGGGCTGTCACAATCTACCCCCTTAAGAAAATTTCGTCCTGAAATTTCATACAGTAAAATACAACCACTAATAATCATAACATAGGCGGGGATACAAATCACTCATCCGGTCCTCTGTCTCCCAAGTAACCTCTTCCACTAAGTGATTTCTCCATAAAATTTTCACCAAACGCACCGTCCGTCTTATTTCTTAGATTCTTATCTTTCCAATCCAGAATAGTCACTGGGTCCTCATCATAAGTCAAATCTGGATTAATTTCCGGAGGTTGAGGAGGTATCACGTGCGACGAATCTGAAACATAATGACGAAGCATGGAAACATGGAACACATCATGCACTTTAGACAACTCTGGAGGCAACTCAAGCATGTAAGCAACTTCACCAACTCTCTAAATGTAAGATTTATATGGATCATAAAAGTCTTCAATATCTTTTTACTCAAAGGGATCTTAATCTTTGGCAGCGGAATTGGATTGAGTTTCTAAGTGATTATGATTGCACAATTGAGTATCACTCTATTCGTGTAAATATGGTGGCTGATGCACTTAGTAAGAAGACTCTGGTTAAACTTAATGTTTTATATGCTTGTCATATTCCTCTTCTTGCTGATTTGAGGTCCACTGGAGTGAAGTCAGGGGTGGAAACTCAAGAAGAAGCTTTACTTGCTAATTTCCAAGTTAGACCAACTTTAATTGATCGTGTGCTCGAGGCTCAGATGAATGATGAAGAAATCCAGGAGTTAATTGAAGCAAGAAGTCAGGGGAAAAAGAAAGATCTCAAAGTTTGGGACGAGCTGTCACAATCATGGCCTCAAATTCACCTCTAGCTAAAAAGAAACTTAGTTACACACATCATAACTGAAAAGCAATCTAAAATAAACATTGAAACTTAAAACAAAGAAAGAAAGAACTCTGAAAATTCCATCAACTTCAATGGATGAATGGTAGGGGCGGCACACCTCTTAAAATTGCAGAACACTTCATATACATATATAGGGCATGGCTAGGGTTTTATTTAGAGCGAATGAAAAGAGAGGAAAAATAGGTAATCAGAATTGGGTAATTCGCCTAGAATAAAAAGGGCATGTAAAAGTGGCAAAAAGGCAAGTTTTTATGGGGTAAAAGAGGCTGTAAGATATTCCAAAGTGATCCCAGCAACTTAGCCTTTATTTTGCACATTTTTTCCTTATTTGGCACCTCTAAATCAGGCTAGATATCCCAATTCCTTTCCCATTGTGTTCCTAGTCATCTAACAAGCCATATTCATCTTTGATTCTTTATTTGGACTTCAAAACAAGTAACAACTTCTCTCCAACTAGGATTGTGTAATTCCTTGCCTTCCAACCTCAACTTTAATTTCTCCAGATTTTAACACATGTTTAACACCTTTTAAACACCAAAACATCCAGCCCATATGCTATCCATTCCTGCTATCCAATCCAAGTCCAAAACTACTCCAAATTGCTCCATTTGACTATTTATTGTCCTCTTTACCAACTGGACCTACAATAATACGAAAATAACTTAAATTACTATAATAAATGGAAATTAACTAAGTAAATGCAAAGAAATAAGATAACAAAGTGGCATAAATATGCTTCTATCAAATTCCCCCACACTTAGCTTTTGCTAGTCCCCTAGCAAAACAAAGAAAACAAAACAAAACCTAAACCTTCCAACAATTGCCTCAGGGATTTCCAATGAAACATAACATGTTAAAAATCGCTACTCACATAGATTTTAGCCATCCTTACTCTTGAGCTTATACTTAACCGCAGTAACCACTCACTAACTTGCATTTAATCAATTAAAACAACATTTGAAAGTAGTAACATGCCTTAGAGAATTCACTCAATTCCTCATCGAATATACTCTCTATCTTCACACAGATTTTCTGACTACACTCCCTATACTAAGTATATGTGAGAAGATTGATGTAAACATGTAGATTAGCACTCACATATGTTATAACAAAGAAGGCATTTTATGGAATTGTTAATACAAGCATGTATATGATCTCATGAATGGAATGCCACTACTTAGAAGCAAGAACCAGGGATTCCATATGCTCGTACCAATTTCAAACTCCACATATTGAAACACATAACAATCAAGATAAAAGTCTAGGGGTGGTAATGGGGCTATGATATTGGCCAATGAAGAAGGGTTAAGGATAAACAAGGGTTCTTAAAGTGATAGTAAGCAAAGGAATGAACTCAACACTTACAATTCAACTTTTGATTGTAGCACCCAACTATAAACACAAAGGAAAGATTCATACAACTTTAGGGTCAGATTCACATTTGTGGACCCTTCTTCAACAACCAACACTTATGAACTC